TAGTGGATTAATAAGTGGATTATTTTGTAAATTTAAAAATAATTTGCCAGGAATTTATTTCTCAAGCTTTCCATTTTTGATATTGGTTAAATACTCAGGCTCTATTGAATTCTGCTAAATCAACTTCAGCTTTATGCCTTCAATTTATTAACTGAAGACCTACCTTTTCTTATAATAATATATGGTTACGTCTTTCTACTCTTTAAGTTCTAAGTCACCATACCTAACGCTCATTTGCTTCATTATTTAGAGTTTGTGTTAGTATTTGATTATCATTCTGTAACTTAGCTTAGACTTCTTGCAATTGTTGCCCTAGATTTCTGGCTCATCAAACACTTTGTTCTATTACCATATTTCAATTTTGCCAAAACCTATGAATTGTACCAGTATAAGTAATAATATTAGCCAAATATGTACTAATTCTATCAAATTGTTCTCTTATATCATCTGAAAATATAATCCTTATATTATCCAAATGTATCACTAAAGAAGCTGAAGCCTCAAATTGCTTATCTAAAATAACTTGTATTGTATGCTTCATATCTAATATTTCTTTATTATTTGAAACTTTTTTTTGACTTAGACCAGTTATTTTATAAATACAGGTCTTAAGTTGCTCAATCTTATCTTTTAGCTTTAAAATATTGATATCTTGGACAGTACTAGCATTACTTTTATGTCTTAAATCCTGCAATGCTTTTTGAAGACACTGTTTAAGAGATTTTATCTCAGACTTAAGAGATGCTATCTTATTTTCATGAGCTAATATTGCTGAATCCTGATAAGATAATGTCTAAAGATGAGGAACGAAACCCAAAAAAAGTTATTAATAAACAGCCGAAATTATATTAAAACATAGTGAGGGATATGACGAAACCCTGAAACCTGAAATTAACTAAAACTATATTAAAAACATAGTAAGAGATATGATGAAATTATTTTGAAAGAGTTTTGGCGAGCATCTTTAATAATGTCCTATAACAGATTTCTAGCTCTCTACTAAACGTACTAAACGCTTTGAGTTTTTTATCTTTAAGTTTATTTTTGGCTATTTTATCTTCCAATTCTTTGCGTAACTCTTTATTAGTATCAAGGATTTTGATATAAACCTTTTCCTCAGTTACAGTCCTTCTGAATATTTGTCTAGCCATATTTTATCTGAACAAATTTTTTCTAATAATGAATATGAGAAAAAAAAATGTTGATCCCTATTATCCAAATAGATTTAGATGAAGCTAGAAAACTTGACGTAACTATTATTTTGCGAAAGATTTATTACCAGCCTTCAGGCTATTAGATGATTGTAAAAAATTGCATGAAGCTTCTCTAAAAGCTAGGTTCAATTTTACCTTAAATAAAATGCATGATTAGCTTAAAAGGCAAGCTGTTTATTAGATTTATAAATCCCGACCAAAATATATTCTATATGCAAGGTTTAGCTCTATTACTATTCCTAATGAGATATATCAAGCAGTCATTGATTCATATTATACAATTAGATTCGAGTAAAGCTAGAAATTTAGATATATCTATTGATTTGCAAAATATTTATTATTAGCCTTCAGACTATCAGAGGACTGTAAAAAAATTGATTGAAGCTTCTCAAAAAGCTGGATTTGATTTTATCTTAAATAAAGTGTGTAATTAGCTTAAGAGACAAGCTGTACATCAGATTCATATGCCTTGGCCAAAGTTTATCTAATATACTTCTTTTAATGATATACAAATTTTTAATAAAGTAGATTTTAACGTAGTTTTGCTTTGATCAATAAAACATCTGCACAAATGGCTAAAAAAATTCAAAAAATTTATGATAATCCCAAACTGCCCTCTTACTTATCCTGAAACTTTTATTATAGATAGAGATACTGAATATATGAACGAATGTAAGGATTTATTGTTTAGCTATAATGTAAAAATTTAGTATGCTAACTCTAAACGTGAAGTAGCTATTACTGAATGTGACTATCAAGTTTTTGAAAAGCATGTTTATTTTTGGCAAAATGCTGTAGATTTTCATTTACCTTTATCTGAAAAGTGTAGAACATATGTTAGAGGTCTTCATGTAAATGATAATATTTTTAATAATACGCTTATTAAGTTAATAGGAATATCTCCTAATAAGACTGTGAAAAGGCAAAAAAATAATAGCTAAACCTTCTGTCAAACATAGAAGACCAGTTGGTTATAATGAACCACTTTTACCTAATTATACTGAAGTTCGTCATCTTATAGAACCTGGTAAATTAAAAGGTTGGAAAAAAATAGCTACTGATTGCAATTGGTTTCCTGAAGTCTTTATGATTGATTTATATTTGATAAAAGAAAATCAACCAGTTCTCTATAAACTTTATAATGGTCCTATATGCTCTTTTGTAAGAGAAGAACTTCAAATTATTCCGTCAGATACAATGTTACCACCTAAATATATTTTCAAGCATTAGACTTACCTCCTTTTTTCTCTACTTGATATAAGATTTACTCAAAAGCATTGCTTAAATAGTCATCTATTTCAGCTTAATTGTAAAATATAATTTGCTTATTTCTAAGCCAGTCTCTTTGTGAATTCTTTTCTTTTTCAGGCTTTTTACTTTAGGCTTATTATCTATACGAAATTTGGTAAGAAAATATAGATCAAACTTGAATTGTTCACGCTTGTCAAATTCCTTTTCAAGTACATCCTTAAATTGTTTTTTTTTGACTCTCTAATATTTTTTATATATCACTTCCATTATCTGGATATGATTTAGGAACTTTTACACAATGTACAACTATAGCTCTTCTTTTAAGTGCTATACCTAATTCTTCTTGCTCCTTAAATTCTAGATCTTTTTCTTATCTATCAATAATTTCTCCTAAGTGACTAAATACTTTATTAATCTGTGTTCTAGATTCTGAACTGGTTTGTAAATCAACTTCTAAAACTGTGTTTGGTAAAACAGGCTCTGGTCGAATATATTCTACAATTCCATTATTTTCCCATCTCTTTTGTACTTGTTGACCTTTTATACGTTCCCTTTCTTGGCACACTTCTGGATCACTTATAATAAGATTATCATATTTGACTTCAACAACCTCTTGAATCTTTTTCTTAATCTTAGTCAACTTCAATATTGCTTTACACTAGTAAGTTCATCAATTTTATCTTCAAGACGAGTTGCTCATTCTTTAAGGCTTTTTTCTGTTCTTCTGGACATTTATTTATAGTTAATCTTATGCGTACTAGTTAATTTCTTAAAGTTAGATTTTTAACTTCTACCAGAAGTTCAGGTTCAGAAATTTGATCGCTTTCTTTATAAATTTGAATTGGTATTTGAACAGGTTCTTAGATTATCTCTTGGATAAGCTATTGGTTACTTTCTTGAATAGAAGATGCTTGAATAGGAGCTTGAATAGATGTTTAAATAGGCATTTGAATAGGATGAATAGGAGTATCAGTTTTAGCTTTACATAGATCCTTTCTTCTAAAATACTCACGAAGTTTATTAGGATTTGCTAAAATTCTACCACAAAGATCACATGTTGTATCTTTTTTATCACTTCTAATTTTTCTAACCATGATGTTAGTCTTTACTGTTGCATTATTAATTACTTATAAAATTTTTTCTTTAATTAATTAATTCCTATACTTTTCAAAATGATCGGTAAATATTCGTGTCCTTATCTTTACAATAAAAATTAATTTACAGTATAAAATAAAAATTCTTTAATAATAAATAACAGAAAAATATCAAAAAAATATTAGTTATATTAAAGCTATTAAATTCAAAATGATATAAATTTGTAATAAAAAATTGCAGTTAATAATAAAATACAAATGCATATTATGTATAATATTTATTTTAGAAAAAAAATTTAATAAAAATATTAAACCAATTATGTAACTATATATTATATAGGAACTAAAGATGTTATAGCAATTAATTTCAAATTGATAACTTGTTGCAATATAAGCTAAATTAGTTATAATGTATGTTGCAATATTATAAGTTGTAATATATATAAGTTATAAATAATCGCAACATACTAAAGATAGTATAGCAATTGATTTCAAATTTACAAAATGTTGCAACATAAGCTAAAATTAGTTGCAATATATATAGGTTAAAACTAATTGCAACGTAAGTTGCAACATTAAAAGTTGCAATATATTAATTACAGTTCCCATCTTTACAACATACATTGCAATATTAAAAGTTGCAATATTTTAATTTTAGTTTTTATTTATTAATAGGAACAAAGATACAAAATTCTGGAAAAAATATTTTTGAGTTAATATTAAATCTTAACTTATTTTACTAAAAAAAATCATATTTAGTTTATAAAGTAAAGTTTAAATTTTTTTAGAGTTTTGTATCTTTCTACTGCAAAATACCTATATTAATACAAAGAAAAAGTTTTTAAAGTCTATATAATCCTAAGGTATTTATTTGGCTTTGATTAGATAAAGATCACTGAAAAGCTCCTATATATAAATTAATTTTATAAAAATATATATTTATAAATCTTAAAATAAAGAAATTAGGTTTCTTATAATGCTAAAATTTTAAGTTTTTCTATTATCTTTTATTTTTATTTTTTTATTTAATAATATTTTATTTTTAAAAATTTATATTATATTTAATAATTATATAAGTGATTATTACCTACTTAAATAAAATTTTTATTAAAAATCTATCATACTTAAACATTAAAAATATATATTAATATTATAAAAAATTATTATAGGAAAAACTTTTTCAAATTTGGTAAGTATCTTATAATATTATTTATTTATTATTTATAAAAAAGAAAAAACTTTTATTTAAAATAAAAATATAAATTTTTGTCATCGAAAATTTTCACGTCACATGATTTGCGATTTTGCCTCGATTTAAAACATTATCGAATTTTATGATTTGGATAAATTTTTTTTTTACTCCTGTTTCGATCAGCCTTCAAAAACTTTGCTTGTAATTTCTAAATAATTCATTATACTTCAGTTTTGACACGTTATTACAATGTCAAAAAGAACCATCAACCATAAGAGACGTAGAAATGTTACGGACGACAGTATAGAGGTTGGTCAAGAAGAAAATGCAGCAGAATTGGATTCAGGTAAATGAAATTGCATTTGCAGCATATATAACACTACAAATTTTTAACCACGCGTCTTTTTTTATAGACGTTTTTATGAACAAAACTTTCTTCCTATATCGGTGTACACCTTTTTACAAATTCGAACATACCGATTTTACTTTATATGGAAAAGAATTACATAATTTCATCACAGGTCAAATGTTAAATAAAATTCCATCATTAGATTATGAGATTAGAGATGAGAATGATTTTATATCTGAAGGAAAAGTAGTAGAAATATTCATATCAAAGATAAAATTATCTGGTTGGAATGGTACGAAACATATTATTTTAACGATAATATGAAAACAGGTGGTAGTTTCGATGAATCTTTGTATTTTTATTCTTAGGTACAAATGGTATGCCAATTGGAATTGAGATAAAGTTCAAGCCGAAAGGTAAGAAATGGGAACGAAATTTAACATAATTACGCGAATTCATTGTTTTATTAATTTTATATCTTTAAGGGTCAGCAAAAGAGCAGATATTTCACTTAATGTTCTTACCAAGTATTGTTAGTCGTGATTTCATAAATAAAAATTGTATGTAATTCTTTCTCAAATGAAGAGAATTTTCTAGTCGAGATTATCTAATTTTATTTCTTTTCCTAGCACCATTTAGTCATTATCCTGTTATTCTAATAAAAGCTCCTCAGCGACTCGCGAATATTGCAATCGAATGGTTCGAAACCCGATTTGATTGCAGAATATGCAGATACCGCCTACAGTCATCCTGTCTAAAAATATTTGTAGAAGAGTGGGCAAACATTAGTTTTACTTGCGATGACTTTATTCAAAGTACGGTTAATTTATTTATAAGATATGTCCCAACTTTGTTTAACAAAATTGATCTACATATTCTTCATGTATTGTCATGTAGATTCATTGAATTCACGATTAATCGCAAAGCCACTTGAACTCACATACATCATTCCAAATATCTCAGAAATCAAAAATATAAAGCTGAGAATGTCAATTGATGATGTCAAACATCTTTACGATAGGTAATTTATCTTCACAAGGAACGTTCCTTAGTTAATTTTTTTCCTAATTGTTCCCTAAAAAGTCGGTTAATCAACTCAA